CAGAGGAGGAAGCGTCAGCCACAGGAGGACCCCGTCAGCCCTGGCCCAGGCCATGCCAGCACTTTCCGGGGCACCTCCTGGGCGCTTCTGCCTCCTGCCCTCGTTCCAGCGCTGGGAGGAGGGCTCGCCACTGCTTCTGTACAGGTGGCACTAAGGCGGGACACCCCTGGCACAGGGGCCATCTTTGGGGGGAGCGCGGCAAGTGTATCACAGAGCAGGGCCTACCGCCTGGGCCTGAGGCGCTGCGAGGGCGGGCAAGGCAGCCAAGGCCAGGCCACGGCAGAGGGCACCAGCTGGACGGGCAGGGGGGCCTCTTTGAGGAGGGGACCTTTGAATGAAGCCCTGGATGAGGAATGAGAAGGTGGCAGCTGTGTTAAGAGCAGGGAAAGAATTCCAAGCTGAAGGGACAAGCACAGAGGTCCTGAGGCACGAAGGAGTCTTGTTGGTTGTTAAACATACCACGGTACAAGGTAGCTGCTTTTTGCGGGGGAAGAGTATGATGCCGACGAGGGGGCGGTCAGCAGGTGCCAGCCCCCCAAGGCACTCGGGCTGTGGTGAGTGGTTCGGACTCCACTCCAGGAGCAACGGGAAGCCACTGCAGGGTTTAATCAGGTGAGAGACAGCATTTGGTTTATATTTTTAAAGGACCCCTCTGGCTACCACATGGAGCCTGGAGTGGAGGTTAGAGTAGGCGTTAGGGTGGGGGCGGGGCAGAGGGCCCCGGGGGGAGGCTGTGCTGCCACCGCTACATGCAGGACAGCAATGCTTGGGCTTGAGGGTGGCAACTGGATGGAGAATTGGAAAGCTGGTGTGTCTGCAGGGGAGCCTGGTGCCTGCCAGTCCCGTCCCCTCCTGTGGCTTTTGGGGAAGCTGCTCAGTAGCCCCTCCTCCTGAGCCAGCTCTGCCCGGGGTGCCCCAGCTGGGCCTTTGTGACCGCATCCCTCCGGCCAGGAGGGAGTCCTCGGCCAGGCCCTCCCAGCAGCAGACGCTGGTTCAGGCCCATCTAGGTGCCCAGCCTGGTGCCAGCCTCCCTTCCAACAGGTTTTGCTGCGACCAGCGCTGCTCATCGACCATCAGGAACCCTCCCTAACAAGGCCCCGTGCTCTGAGGGTGCGGAGGGCTGGGTGGGCGCCTCTCTGCAGAGCTCCCCGGGATAGGCTGGCCATGTGTTAGCAGCACTTCCTTCCTCTGCTCGTGTTTCGCTCACACCCTCACCTCCTGCTCCCCCAGGGCCTGTCTGCACGGCCCTCACCTGAGCCTCAGACCTTGGCGTCCGGGAATGTGAACCGCTGGCCCAGAGCCCCTGGGGGGGCCCAGCGCCTCAACTGGGCTCCTCCACCTGGAGCTGATGCCGGACCCCCTGGCTCGGGGCACGCCAGGCGTCAGCAAGGCTGTGGAGCTGACACAAAGAGCTCCAAGTCCCTGCAGGGGCCACACACCTCATTTTTCCCCCGTATTGAGATGTAATTCACGTACCATAATATTCTTCATTCTAATGTGTACAATTCAGCGGCTTTTATTCACAGGGTTTTGCAACTGTCTGCACTAATTCCAGGACGTGCACTTCACCACAAAAGGAAACCCCACGAGAGTCCCTCCCCACAACCCTCTCCTCCCGGCCCCGACGGCCACGCATTCACCGTCTGTCTCTATGGGTTTGTCTAATTTGGACATTTCACCTAAATGGCGAAAGGCTCGCCCTGGCCAGGTGGCTCAGTTGGTTAGAGCATCATTCCATAACCAAAAGGTTGCGGGTTCAGTTCCCAGCCAGGGCACCTATCTAGGTTGTGCGTTCCATCTCTGGTCTGAGCCTGTATAGGAGGCAACCAACTGACGTTTCTCTCTCTCATACCGATGGTTCTCTCTCCCCACTCAACTTCCTCCCTCTCTAAAAATGAACAGAAACCTATCCTCAGGTGAGGATAAAAAAATATAATAAAAAAAAAAGTTACAAATAAATGATAAAAGCCTCTGCAACCTTTCAGGCCACAGGTTCTGGGTGGAGCCAATGGAAGGGGCCACAAGAGCAACGTGGCCCCATGTTCTTTCTGAGATGAGAATTTGCGTCAGTCCATCAGCCCCCCCACATTCAAGAGCCTGAGCTTCCCTAAAGAGTGATGCCTTACTCATCCCAGAAGCCCCCCCAAGCCCGGCCCAGGACCAACTCCCTCCCTCTACCCCTACTCCAGGTCTCAAAGCAGGGAAAACAAAACCAAAAAAAGGAGCGGCTACTGCTCTAGGCCAGTAACTGCGCACAAGCCCACATGGGGTGCCAGACAAACATCAGCCGTGAAATAAACTTTGACCTAACTCCCCTTCCCCTGACAGAGCTTACAAGAAGCCAAATACCAAAAAGAAACAAAACTTTGGAAAAAAAATTCCTCTTTGCCCCATCGCAGTTGCTCTTGAGGCGGTCGCTTAGCCTGTTGCTCCTGGCGAGACTCGAGCCTGCCTTTTTCAAGGTACCCAGTGTGGCCACCACATGGATGCTCCACCCACGCAAGCGCAGGAGGTCCCTGGCATGAGCTTCCCCACGGTTAGAAACTCGAGGGACTGGTCTTGAGCTCCTCCGCACGACTGCTGACCACTCGGATTCCCGCAGGGACGGCCGGGCGGGGCCCGGGGCAGCGGGGGGGGGGGGGGACGTGGCCCCTGCGCAGTTCGGACGTGCGCAGGGAAGCTCCGCTTGGAAGAAAACCTCCAAAGGCAGTTTTTCCTCAGGGCCCCTGCAAGGGGCTCCTGACCCACTTCAAGAGTCTTTTTCTGATTCCGGACACATGAACCTTGAGTCACAGTGATAGATGTGCTCCCAAAACACAGGGTCGATTAATTTTGCTTTTTAAAACCTGACCATATTTTAAGTGTCTCTATAACTCAAGTAATGCAAGCAACTAGTCTTACTTGCTATTTGTTTATTACTATCAAGTTTTCTTAAAAGAAGCTCCACTACCTTCACATATATCTTCCTCACCCAGTGTCACCCCTACTTAGGCCCTTGCCTCTGTCCTTGTCCCTACCCCCTGGAACAGCTGGAGCAGGGGCATGGAAAGTCAGTGCCAGAGCCTAACCCCCTCCTGTGTTCCCAGAGGCCTGGCAGTGGGAGGCCACCGCTGAGTGGGGAGGAGAACCAGGGGACTTGCCCTGATAGGAGAGGCTGTGACAGGGACAGACACATCTGCTGTGCCTTGAGAAAGGCCCTTACATTGAAGAAAAGAAATGGCCCGGGCCCGGGTGCTGTGCTTGGCCCTCTGCACCGTGCTCTCCTTCCCAGCCTTAGTGCTGCGGTTGGTCCTGTGTCCACCTACTCTTTCACCACAGTGAACGAAAGGACACCAAATGGTCTCATCGCCACGCCCCTGCAGAGGAGATCCTCCCTCTCCAGGCCCTCTCCCACCACTTGCCCAGGCCATGAAAGGAGCTCAGAAACACTGCTTTTCCTTGCCCTGCTGTGGAGTCAGAAGCAGCAGGAGGGGAGCCCGCCCCGCGAGGCCCGCTCTCGGCCTAGGCCTTCAGTCTAGTCCTCGTTACCACAATCGCTCCAGACCAAGGAAGCAAGCAAGCAGGCAATGCACCCGCCAGTGGTTTGGCAGTGCTGGGCTATGTCACCTTGGCCCAATATCAAAGGGCCTGCTCCTACTGGGGGGTCCAGAAAGCACCTTTGTTAAGCATCTGCTCCTGTGGGGGGGGCGGCCTCTCAGGAGAGCTGCTGCATCAGGTGGCAGGGCTGGTGGGCAGGCGCCTACCCCAGACTTGAAAGGAAGCAAACCTCCAGACAGAGCCACCCCCCTCCCCGGCACAGAAAGTTCAGACCGACAGAACATTCATCCAACAGGCTCCTTCTACAGGTGAGAAAATGGGGACCAAAGGGCAAGGAGCTCATTTCCTGAGTCAGCAGTCTACAAGGTTTTCCAGCCCAAGTTTCTGGAGAGAAGCCTCAGCCCATCTTCTCACCTCCTACTCCTGTCGGCATGAAACAGCTCCCGGGACCAACCCTCCTCATTCTGGATCAGAATCGGCCAGGCAGTCACCCTCTTCCCCCGGGGTGACCCCACCACTAGCCATGGGAGCCTCTGCCTCGCCATCCCCACCTACACTGGGCCTACAGTTGCACCCAACACCCTTCCACCAGGGTCCCCCCAAACCTTTCATGTACTCTAGGAGCTCTAACCTCACCCCAGCGTGGGCTAGCTGAGGATGACTGAAACAGTAATCTGAATTTCTTTTTTTTAAAGTACAGCCTAAGTGCTCCAAAGCACTCAGCACAGGCTCTTCACACTTGAGGTCATCTGCTCCAATGGGCAGAAAAGCATAGTGTGTAACCATCCTGAAACCTTTTCAAAGCACTGGATACTTGAACAGACTGAATTTGCAAATTCATCAAACAGGCCCCTCACCGACACTACTGAACACCTCGGCAAACCCTCCGTGGTGCGTTTGAGACGTCAGCTTCGTAAAAACCCACTGCCCACACACGGCGTTCAGAGCCTTTCTCTGGCAAGGGTGCACTCATGCCAACAAAGACAGAGCGAGTAGAACATCCACTACCAGGAGACCTGAAGCCAAGAAGCTTTCCTACTGGTTCCTCCAAGCACCAAGGCTCGGGGTTCCAGGCTTCAGGGAGAAGGCTAACTACCAAGGTCACACAGCTGAGACCACGCTAGGCACCCCACCCCTGGGAGCCAGGGGGTGGGTCTCAGCTCAAAAGTTCTCCGGGTAGGCTCCACCCCAGCATCACCTAGCACCAGGTGAGCTCCTGCACCTGCTGTGAGAAAGCTAGGGAGACATCGCCAAAAGCTAGCGGGAAGTGGGGTGCCCAGGGCCGTCCCTCCTTCCTTCAGCATGGTTCTCCTCTGGTTCAGATCCTACTGGGCAGGAACGGGGGAAAAGAGACCAGAACCGAGTTCTCATGTATCTATTCCGTTGGAAGTAAAGGTTACTTCTTGCCCCTGCCTCACATACCTGGTCAAGGAGGCGCCCGGCTGGGCTGTTGGGACACTTACCAGTGGGGGTTGCGGCTGGGGGTGCTGCCCTGCTCCGGAGGGGGGTGGGTAATGCATGAGCAGATTGAAGGCGGAGTAGACGGTGTCTTTGTACATGCCGCTGGCGCACTCCGGGGCCTTCAGGCCTGGAAAAACCACAGCTGGGTCAGACTCGCCAGCCCGGACGGCTCGGGCTGAAGGCTGTCTACTCTCTAGAGAAAAATAAGACTTGCCAAAGGGTCCCCTTCAAGTTCGTGACTTGAGAAAGAACGGGATGGGGGTACCCGCAAGTGCCAAGTTTTGACGAAGCACCGAGTCCAAGCCTCCTCTTGGCGACCCCTAACTCGACCCCCACCCCGCCAGCTGGCCAAGGAACCTTCGCCAGCGCTTTCTCCCCAAGACAGGGGATTAGTCAGTCACCTGGGCAGGAGGGGAGGCGGAGATGGCGGGGGTCTGTTTACTCCTATAAAGGTCAGGGCACCGGAAGTGACTCGAGCCCGGAGGCGCCCGGGAAACCCGCCCCCACTCCTCCCACCCCCTCGGTTTTACCGCCTCCTGGAGCTGCAGTTGGGGGGAGGCACCCCCTTGGCTCCTTCCCTCCCATGGAGGACTGGGCCTTAGCGGGTGGAGAGGAGCCGGGCAGTGCAGAAACTCACCGTCCTCCAGAGATTCTGGAAGTTTGTCAGGGAAAAGTCTCTGCGAAGTGTGTTCCCGCCCGAGAGCCTGCGGGGAGATTCAGAGGGGCCGTAAGGGGCGCAGGGAAAGCTGGGGACTCGGGGCCAGGGACAGGCGGGGATCTCAGGGATGGGGGCTCCGATGGCCGCGGCCCCCGGAAAGGAGCTGGGCACGGGCCGGCGCTCACCTCGGCCCCGACCTCAGCCTCGCCGCGGGCCCCGGTGCCGGCCCCCGGGATCCCCGCGCCGCCCGCCGCGCCCTCGGACTCATTGACTAGCGACGATTTGAGCTCGGCCAGGTCGCGCTCGGGGCCCGCGGCGCTGTCGCGGCTCTTATCGTCCTGTTCCTCGCCCTCGTCTTGGAAGGCCAGCAGCTCGTCGGGCGCGCCGAGGTCGTCGCCGCCGCCTGCGCCGCCCCCGCCCGAGTCCAGCTGCGGCATGGTGCGCTCCGCCGCTGGGACGCGGGGCGCAGGAGTGAGGGGTGCGAAGCCGGCCCGGGAGGCGGCGAGCCCGGAGTCCGGACCTCCGAGCCCGGAGCGCGGCGGGCGGAGCGCGGGCTGACTCCGCCTGGGCGGGCTGCGGGCGCTGGGCGCTGGGCGCGGGCGCCGGGCTCAGAGGCTACGGGAGCTGGCGGGTCCGAACATCAAAGGCGCCGCCGGCTGAGTGCGGGGGGCGGGGCGGGGGCGCCGGGGGCGGGGCGGCACGGGGGCGGAGCCAAGTCGCCCCGCCCCGCCCCTCCTCTCACCGGAGCGGCGGGGACGCGCCCAGTGGGTATAGCCTTAAAGGGCTCGCTCTCCCAGTTGTAAACAGAATTAGGCGTTGGACGACCCTGAAAAGCATCACCAATCTTCTAAAATGCGGGGACTTTAAAGGAAACTCCGACCCAGCTTCCTCACCTAGGGATTCCCGCCCCGCGCCTAGATGTCCCCTAGGCTCTTAGGGTGTCCTGGAGCAAGAGCTAAGGTGTGAACTGCGTCTGTGCCCCCGGCCCAGGACTTTCTGGGCTTGAATTTGGGGATTTCCTAGAGCTTGGGGCTGCTCAGAGGCCAGTCCCGGGCCGGCAGGACTAGGCTTCCTCAAAGCCCCATTCTCCAAACCTACGCCAGTCAGGTCGCCCACTCATAGCGCAAACATAAGCATATACCCGCCACACACATTGAGCGCCTGCTGCATGTGGGGCTCATACATCACGGTTGTGACGACCTCTCAGCCGTGTGGAGGCTTCGAGGCACGAACACAGCCGCGAGAACTTGGAGGCAGGGCCCGATCTCCCCACCATAGGGATCTTCCAGTCACACCCTTTGTCTCCCACAACTGTCCCAACTCATTTCCGCACCTAGAGCCTGCGGCCCAGTGGTGCCAGGCTTTGGTCAGCCACGTGGGCCGCGGGATTCCTATGAGGGTTGGGTCATGCGAAGCAATTTAACTCGGGAAGTCGTATTCCCGTGGAGCCCATTGACTCCGAGTCTGGCACAAGCGGGCCCTCGCAAGACCTAGTCTGCAGAGTCTATAACAGATCGGGAGGAGCGCAGGAACCGCCAGTTTCCATCCCATCTACAAGGCACCCGGGGTCAAGTCCACGCGGGCTTCTACAGCACACTTGGCCTCAGCTCAGCCACTACGTCTAGGCCCCTTCGGATCCCGGTGCAGTGAACCGCAGCCCGCAGCAGGTTCCTGCGCTGGATTCTGTGTAGGCGTTCCCGCCTCTCCCGAGAGCTACTGGGGCAGAAGGTGCTGGGGAAGGGAGGGTGTCTTGGCCGCTTCCCCGACTCAGACTCTCACAGGACCCCTGGCTGCGGTGCAAAGTCGGGCCGGAAGAGAGCCGCACCGCCCCTCCGGGTCTGGGCCCAGCCTGGCTGGCTGCGGATCAAAGGGACCTGGCCGTCCTTCTCCGTGTTCAGATCCTATCTGCGCCCGCCCAGCGGGGCGCCTCGGTCCGCTCCCCACCCCCACCTCAGGGCTGGAGTGCCCTCTTCTCCTCCCTTCCGGGGGCCCGGGGGAGGGGTGGGGATGGGGGGGTGGGCACTAGTGCTCTGTGTGGCGATGGAGATGTGGGGAAGACCTTGCCCATTAAGTCCCCTCCCCCACCCCCCCACCCGGTCAACTTTCCTGGTGTGAGCTTGTTGCTCAGTCTCACCTCATCCTCTCTAGAGTGGGGGAGGGGCTCTAGCCAGACGCAGCCCAGTCCCAGGGGAGAGCGCAGGAGGAGGGGCCCATGGCCTCCCCCCACCTCAGCCCCTGAAGTCGTAAGGTCTGGCATTGATTGGGATGAGCCTCCTCTGCTATTGCTGCGCGGGAATACAGGCCTGCCTGACCCAGAGGCTTTGGGGGTCGTCCTGCGTTTTCTGAGTGATCCCAGTTTAGCAGGAGCCTCTTCCAGGACAAAGTTCCCCAGACCCATGAGGCCCGAGTGAACGCAGGGAGCTGAAGTTTTCTCCAGTCCACGGAGAAAGGAGAGAAGTCAGGGCAACAGGGAGTTTGTTTTTCTCAAGAGGGCTAATTCTTTTCATCTTAAAATATTAGCCTTTAACCAGAGATTATGACCTTTCTGCTTTATTGGTGTGGAAACAGCCTTTCTTTACTGAAATGATGGTGAGAACTAATTTTTTTTTTTTTTTTAGTGTTCTTATTTGGCAAAAGAAAAACTTGACAACTCCATCACTCTCCCACCCCCAAGCTTCTCTGGACATTTTACAGGGCTCTGAAATTCCGAAGTCTGGGAACCACTGCCCTTAGGGGGTCATGGCTCCCAACCCCTTGCCCTGCTGGGCGGAACCAGGGGGGGCAGGTGAGTAGGGAGAATAGATGTGTGAGGAGGGGTAAGGGAGGGAGAGGCAGCCTGAGTCTCAGACATCAGCCACACTGAAATCAGCCTGGAGGCCTGGGCACCTAACCTGAGCTCAGGCTGGTAGAAGGGAGGGGCAGAGGAGGCCACTGGAGGAGGCACTGGCTGCTGGAGAAGCTGAGAAATCATTAGAGCCAAGTTTGTTGCCGGATTAGTTCATAGGAACCATGGGCAGAAGGAGCGCCAATACGGTGAGATCAGCGGGATTGGAGTGGTCAGGCTGGCTTCTTGGACGAGGCCGACTTCGTCTGGGCCTGGGAGGCTATGCATGGCTTGGAGCGATAGAGAGCAAAAACAGAGAAAAAGGAGCTTGGACTTGTCCCCACAAGGCAGCTGGGGCCCTGTAGCAGCGCTTGGTCTGGTTAGTGCTGATCCTGTCACCTTCATCCACGTGGTGGCTTCCTGTTGTGGAGTGAGTGCTGTGTACCAGGCATCGTGGCAAGAGCCTCACACACATCATCTCATTTAATCATCATGCCAATCCTATGACATAGGGACGGCTATGCCCATTTATGAATGAGGAAACTAAAGCTCAGAGAGGCTGAATAAGTCACCCAAGGTCTCACAGCTTGGAAGTGAGTTTATCAGAATTCCAAACCCAGGTGGCCTGTCTGCTGAGCCCACAACCTAACTTTTCTTTCCCTTTCTTTTTCTTTTTTTTTTTTTTTAATATTTTACTTATTTTTAGAGGGAGGGGGAGCGAGGCAGAGAGAGAGGGAGAGAAACATCATGTGTGAGAGAGACTGCCTCTGCACATCCCCAACAGGGGACCTAACCCAAAACAAGGCATGTGTCCCGACTGGGAATCAAACCCACCACACTTGGGTTTGTGGGACAACGCCCAATCCACTGAGCCACACCAGTCAGGGCACACACCCTAATTTTTATATCCTAACTAGTGTTCCACTCTGACCTCTGCAATTTCAGCGGGGTCCTTACCTACTTTGTGGTCTTGGCTGACAAATACTGATGAGTGAGTGGTCGCTAATAGAGTTCCTACTTTCTGGGTGATGCATGCTGCGTGAAGGGGCCACCGGGAGGACTGGGGAATCTCCCTGGCTAGCCTGGATGGGTGGCTCAAGCCCTTTGCTGGGTAAGGGGGTCCAGAGCATCTCCCTTGAGTCAGAGCAACCTCAGTCTGTACCGTCTCTCCCCTTGGCCCACCCTAGACTGCCTGACTCAGGTTCCGTCATGAGACAATAGGCCCTGGGATTCTTCCACAGGGAGGTGACTAAGATCTGCTGTGGCTGCCCCCTGGATGGGACCAGGGGAGGTCTGGGACCAGGGCCAGCTGCCGGGAGGCCCCAGAGTCTTCTGGACTTGGGAAGGCCAGGTCAGAGCTGGAGATTTAACAAGGCTTCATCTTCATGCAAATAAACCAGGTGGACCTGTGCCGTCCTCAGATGCAGGATGCTGGATGGAGAGCTCTCAAGGGTTGAGGGTTGGCACAAGGGAGCTCCGGCTTTGGATTTCAGCAGACCTGAGACTGCATCCCTGCCCTACCATTTACTAGCTGGCAGGACTCCAGACAAATCACTGCCCCACTTGGAGGCTCCGCTTCCTTGTGGGCACAGCGGTGTCACACCTGAGCCTGCCCCTCACTGTGGGAGCGGGGCTGAGATGAATCATGTATCCCAGGAAAGAACTTAGCACAACGCCTGGCACATTCCAAGTGCTCTAATAAATGGGTGCTCTTGAGCTAGAAATTTTTCGGAAGTTGTTAGGCTAATTGGCTCTTCATGTAACGTCATGTAAATCATCTAAGTGTTCTCAGGGCCTGAGCTCACTTAATCACAGCTAAAGCTGAAAATATACATTTCCTTTCCTTTCTTTCAAGTTCCTTTAACATGAAAGGCCTGCATGAACTCTGACCTTTTCTAACAGGAAGACCCTTGAAATGTAACATTTCCAGAAAACGCCTCCAAGGAGCCCCAGATGGATTTGGTAAATTACAACGCGGAGAGGCTCGGAGTGGCGTCTTGTCCTGCCCGCCAGCCAGCCTGGCATCCTGTCGGGGCCTGCCGTGCGCGCCTGCAGGCTGGGCTGCCGGCCGGGGCAGGAACACTTCCCGTGGCGCAGCCTGCTCTCTCAGGGCAAAGCCTGGTCACGCGTCCTAGAGGCAGACTGTGGTTTGTTACTAGAAACACAGTTTGCTCTCTGGAGACTCTGTGTAGTTTCACTGCATGTTTGTGCGTGTGTGTCCGTGTGTGTGCCTGTGGGTGGTTTTGGCCTGAGAGTGGCGAGGACACACGACTGCTGTGATGCCACGGCCCTGGGTCTGGACTAGGCGGCTGCCTTCAATGAAGCAGGAAGGGTTCGAGGTCGTCTTTCCTTATCATTTTCAGTGGGTTCTCTCCTCTACCACCTAACCCCCTCCCCCGATTTTGTGCAACAGCCAAGAATTACTCTTACAATACAAATGTAATAATAGAGCTAGATGTTAGCTATCCCTGACGAAACCCCAAGGGAGTTTGGCCAATTCGGCTTGAGGGGCGGTGGCAGTGAGATCACAAAGAGAGCTGTCCCCCAGCTTCACAGGGCTTGTTACGACAATTTCCCATCGTGCCCGTCACTCTCGCCAATGGATGGGGCTGA